TTCTTTTGCCAGTTAGTGTCTAGGACTTCATTGGTGATCTTGATGGGCATACTTTTCCTGGGTATCAAAGCAACAAGATATCTAGTAGTGAAGTAACAGCAATGATGTAAGAATATCTGTGATTTTTAGTCTATAATTAAAGGATTCATAGTTTCTGAGGAGCTGCATTAAAATTAGAAAGTCTTTTCTGAGCCTTAATTTCTCACTAATGACCTAGTAACTGTGTCATAGTATTGTTATGAGGGTTAGGATGATATAGGGGATTGGAACTCCCAACTTACTATGTGCCCAGTATGAGTTCGTGTTCTCTAAAATCAAAGAATGAATTTTAGGAACAATGGAGGTTAAGAGCAGAATACATATATTGAGAGAAAGCTTCTGTCTGAGGGACAGAAGGATCCCGAGCAGGTTGCCAGGAACTCTGTCTTTTTCAGGGACATTTATAGAGTAAAATCACGAGGTTAGATGGGTCTAAGGTGGACAATAATGGAGACTTGCAAGGTGAGCATGAGGTGGAACAGAAGTGTGGCCAAGCAATAAGGTTAGTTGCTCAGGAAAAACTGATTAAATCGGGGACTAATGGGGGAGAGTGACATAGTAAGCATGCATGCTTAATAGCATGTACTATTCCTGTAGAGGGGTGGGATGATGACTCCTGACTTCCTGAGGGTGATAGAGAGCTATTTGGACTATCAATCCTTAGGATATAGCTGTATTTGCTTTGCCTTTCTTTTGTCTTGAGAGCTGGCCCACAGCAGGAGGTGATTGTTTCTTCCAAGGCTACAAGGTTACAAGGTATCTGAACTTCTGCTCTGGTTCGGGCACAGCCCTGTCTCACTGCCTGTAACACTCTGTCTATGTCTCCTAATTCTCAGTTTTGGTTCTTTGTCTAGTCAGAAGCTAAGCCTGCATATAAAGGGAGGGATAGACACTCACTTGGAATGGATATCATATTTCATAGCTCCCCTTCTTACCTCAGTTTCTTAAATGCACATGTTCTTTGAAAAGAGAATAAAATGTTGGGTAGTTAAAACTGGAAATGTTGAGTTTGATTACCTTCTTTTTTCTTGTTCAGCTGATTTAATTTGAATCTAAGCCTTATTGGTTGCACAGTCCTAGCACCTCACAGCAGGGTGTGTAGTGGGAGATGATATTCTGGTCCCACACTTTTTAATCACAGAAAAAATCCTGTTCAGTAAGTATGGATTGGTAGAGTCTTGTTGTGACTCTGTGGTTATTGCAAAAGCAGGAGTGCAAAGGAACAGAGCTTCTTGTAGCTCAGGCGTGCCTCCCAGGCCAGAAGAAATTGCTTCAGAAGTCTTTCGTCAAAGGATATTATGTCAGTTCAATAACTATAAATGTCAGAGAAAAAATGACAAGCATAAGGTTTAGCATGAAACTGGAAATTCATCTTGTCACCTAGAAAAGTAAGGGCATGCAATGATGCTCAGAAATATTGTCCAAAAATCCAGTAGCAGGTGTCAACGAAGACTGGCTGTGGTCTCAGTGCCTGCAGGCTCTATATTGTAGTCAGACTTTGAAAATGTCTGAAAATGCTTCCTTTGCAGAAACAAGGCTCAATGTTCTGGAGGGGCTGTGGGACAGTACTGGCTTGTGCTTTGTGGAAAATACAGAAAATCTTTTAGCCATACTCCAAAGAATGAGGCAAAGACTAAAGTACAAGGGCTGGCCAGATTAGAGTTTTTGGGGCATCCAAGGTCACGTAGAGGCTGCAGTGTTCACCTGAGCCAGGCATCCCCTGCTTGTCTCCTTCTCTTATACTCAGCAGTGCTGGTGGTATAGTTAGCTTGAGCTGATGGTGTCTCTATGTTAAAGTCTCTGTATTCTTTTTCTATGGGAAGACATACAAATTCCTACCTAACATCCACTTTATTCACTGCCTTTGTTTTTTTAAAATCTGTTTGTTTTCTTGAGAGATGCCAACTTGGCAGCACTCAGGCTGGCTGTCTCTCTTCTGATTCCAATCTTGGAGACTTTATCCATAATCCAACAAAGCCCCAGGGCAGTTCTTTTCTGTTCCCACACTTAATATAATTAGGTGAGTAGACTTGCTAAACCTTATGATTTGAATAAAGCCTATTATTCCTCCTGTAAGAGCTTAGGATGAGACCAACACAAATCAGAGCCAACTGTCCAGCCTCTCCCACTCTGATATCTCATGGGAGAATGTAAATGAATAGAAGGAACAGAGAAAAGTGGGTTGGATGAGAATTATGAAGCCTTTGCACTTACCAGGATGATGGCCAAATGGTGTCACTTTGGAACACAGTGTAAATCTCTTAATGCCCTTCTGTCTTAGTAAACCATCCAGAACAGAGTTAGGCAAGGCAGGGCTTCACATGCTCTTACTTTAAGAATAGTACACACTCAATAAATATATGTCTGCACTGCTTTGTTGTTTGAGTGCTGATCAAACATGCCTATTTGAACTTTCTTAAATTGCTTCATTTTTATACCTGGGAAAACCTGATTTAATATTCTCTTTAAAAGAGTAGGACTCCATTGTAATCTTGTTTACTTACTTCTGTTGCTAAAAAGTTCTGCTTTGGCATGGTTTTGTTCATAACTGAGATCTCATTAGGACAATATATTATTTTGTGACATAATTTGAAAAAGGTTAAGGTTATTCTTGTTATATGTCATAGCCATGAATATCTAGATCCTATGGCTTATGCCAGTGATATAAACCTTTTAGAACTTTCAATGATAGCAGCTCACTCTAACATGCATACTATAGGTTGGCCGCTACTGCCCTATACTATAGAATCCTTTTTTTTTTTTTTCTTTTCTGTATTTTATTTGTTTGTTTATTTATTTATTTATTTTAGTACTGGGAATTGAACTCAGGGCCTCACACTTTCCAGGCAATTGGTGTGCTGCTGAGATGTATCACTAACCCAATACTATAGAGTCTTGCTTCTTTCATTTGGCAGTGTTTCTTAAGTGTTAAAGATATCACTGTATAACCACAATTTTTATGGTTGTATAAGAGTTTATTGAGTGCAGATGTCACAGTTTATTTATGTCTGTGTGCTGGTCACTTTAAATTTTACATAATTATAAATAATTTTAAGTAGAAAAATTTCCACCATACTTTGTATGTATTCCCTTCAAATAGACTTTTAGAGATCTTTCAGAAAGATGCTGAATGGTTTTAGGCCAGACTTACAAGACTTCATTGCATACATAGATCACTTGTGGGATAATGTGAAGTACAGATTCTAACTGAGCAGGTCTGCAGTGGACCTGAGAGTCTGTATTTGTAACAAGCTCCTGCCGTATGCTCAGGCTGGGGCTAAGGATTCAGGCAGCCTCTCAAAGTTGTAGGTGTACTGACGAGTATATGTAAAGCCTGTTTTTCCAAGTCATTGGTTGGGCTGGCTACATAGGAGCTCAGCTCCCACAGGAGTATTTTCTAATCAAGAGAAAAGTTTTGATTAGGATGGCATACAGAGAAAATAAGGCAGTGTAGCACTTCACTTCAATGAAACCCTCTAAGTTACTCAAGGTAGCCTTAGGATTACTTGAGGAGTTGCAGTACTGATGCACCATATGCATCTGTGTACATGTGCATACATGCCATCGCTCCTAACCATCACAGGCAGAGTGTCTGGCAATGGGATGTGACTACCAGTAACTTTTAAAGCTTGTCAGGTATTTAAGATGGCTCTATATCTAAACAGAGTGGAGGACCATTGCTCTAAGCCCTCAAAGACCTACCTTACATCTCACTAAGATACAACTGTGCATCTTTGTCAGTATTAATTCTTTTATGTCATGTATTTTGGTACATTTATTGGCTAAAGTATGATCATTTGATAGTTGTATGCAATATGAAATTATCAAATCAAGGTATTTACATTTCCAACTCTTCAAACATTTATCATTTTTTTATTTTGGGAACATTTGGCTACTTCTGGTTTATTTGAAATATGTAATAAATTTTGCAGACTATGTTACTATAGTGCTAGAGAACACTGGAATTTCTCCTATACTTCAGTACTATCACCAAAGCTCTCTCTGTCCCCACTCTTCCTCACTCTTTTAAACTTTTACTAATCACTATTGTACTCTCTTCTTAAAAGTCAACTTTTAGCTTCTACAGGAGTGAGAATACCCACTATTTGTCTTTCTGTGTTATGCTTATTTTACATAACATACCTTCTTCACTTTTCATGTTATGTTGCCACAAATGACTGGATAAAAAGTTTGTGGCTTACTTGTCTATATACTATAATATATAGTACCCCAAAGAATTGAGCAAGACACACACATAAGTAGTAAGAAAGGTAGAAATTTATTAAAGAAAATTATACTAATCAGAGTGGTAGTGGAGTGATGAGAAAACTCAAGAGTGAGTTTGCTCAGAGTAGCTCTATTTTAGATTTGAGGTAAAGTACCTTGGGGCAGTTTTATACAAGCAGAGCTTGGAGGTAGCAACTGTCAGTACTATAAGTTCACCTTCAAGCACAAAGGGTGGACAGAGCCAGAGATGGCAACTGCAGTGGGTTTTTGTGTTGGCTTTTCTTTGGTCTTTCAGAATTTAGGGTAATATTCAGGGTTTGGTTTATTTCAGTGGAAGATTTTGAGTATCCGAGCCTAGACAGAATGAATAGGGCTGCCAAAGTCCACTAGAAATCAACACTGAAACCTGATGGTATCACAATGACTGTGGGGGTACTATTTGTTACTCTAAATCAATTAGATTACCTTTTTGGGGGGCTATCAAAGCTGTCATATCATGTCAGCTATCAAAGAAATATGATAAGGGCAGGAACATATTTTTAAGGCTTGTGTCAGACATTAAAAAAAAAAAAAAAAAAAATGTAGAATGAGCCCAGGATGCTCCTGTAGTATCCAAGAGCCAAGAGGCATCCTGTATATGATGAGCTTAAAACCAGAATGTCTCCCATGTTGTCTCCTGCCTTACTTGCCACTTACCAACAGCAAGAGTAATGCGTGCTGATTCTTTTCTGCAGTTGCCTTTTCAGGACTCGGTTTTACGACATTCTACTTGGCGGGAAAGCTGCACTGCTTTACGGAGAGTGGGCGGGGCAAAAGCTGGAGGCTTTGTGCTGCCATCTTGCCCCTGTACTGTGCCATGATGATAGCCCTATCCCGCATGTGTGACTACAAGCATCACTGGCAAGGTGAGTCCTCCATAGGGAGTCCCTGCCCAGGGTCTGCCCATTCCTTACCATAGTCAGCCCTCATCTCCAGGGATAGATGTAGAAATACAGAAAGTACCCATTGTCAAAACACAGAACAGGTACAGTTTTGAAACTTTTATACCTGCCTTAATGAGTTTTGGGTTTTGTGTTGCCCTTTCTGGGAAACATTTGAAAGAGTTGGAGCTCTTCCTTCACTTCTTGTATACTCAAGGAGGTTTTTCTTGAGTCCTACCATGATGTCAGGCCTTCCATGTAAACACACACCCCCCCCTCCACCCCGAATGTGATTTCCCAGTCTTCAATTTTCAGACTTGGTTAGTGCTGTGTTTTGTTTGTTTATTTGGCTCTTTTTTCATATCAAATCCAACCTATATGGGCATATTTCTCACTATAGATGCTATTCCAAAGGATGTGTCTACCCAGGGATCAATTCCAGCAATATTTTAAACGATAGTCATAAAGTTGAAACTTATGTCTAGTTATTAGTCCACTGATGTCTGTTAGAAATCTGAATCACACAAAACAAATGATGGACTTCTCCCTGGAATGTAACTGAACCCTGCCATGTCCCTCTGCACATAAACTGCAGCTCACAGTATGCCTGGAAGACAGATGTCACCCACCACAAGCAAACAGGGAAAAGAGACAGACAGAAGTGCCATTCATAGGAGATGTGAGCACCAGAGGGATCTGAGAGTATTTTCCAAAGGGAAATTTCATCTTGATCAGGCCGTCCTGAGTTAGGAATTGGACGGTATGCATGGGGAAATCTGGAAACTATTATATATATTTATATTTTTCCCTTTTTTTTTTAAACAAAGCATCTCCTTTCTGATGAGGTCTCAGAAGCATAGCAAAAGAGGTCCTCTGTATATGTGTACTTTGGATAAATGAATGAGCCTGACTCTATCTTGCCTGGATAAGTCGCCTTCCATAGTCTATGGCCCTTGACTCTTCTTCCTTTTCCTTTTGTCCTGCTGCCTCTAGGCATTGTTTCTGTCTTCCCTCTTCCTGTTTCTGCAGCCAGCTGCCTTGTGAAACTGCCTCTTTTCACCTGTTTCAGGGGCTCATTCAGTGGTAAGGGAGGCAGGAACTGATGTCAGAGGTGAGGAGAACCCTTAGTGAGGGCCCCTTTTCCCTTGTCTTCTCTAGGGGCTTCATGTTTCTCCCAGCACTGCCCCAGGTTTTCTTACTTCCCCCAGCAATGGGTCTGCCCTCTACCCTTCTGGAGCTTATGCCCTAGGTATCAGGTGCCTGCAGTGCAGCTTTGCTTCAGGGAGAAGGCAAGAGTTGCTGAAACACAGTTGGGATGAGTGGAGGCATCAGGTATTAAATGCTGACCAAGAACTGAGGCCTGTTGGATGGCTTAGGTGCAGGTAACAGGGTTGTAAACTGAGGCCTTCCTTGCTTTTTAATTTTAGCAAGGAGTCAGATGAAGTTCTAGATGAAGTGGAGCCACATCGTAGAAAGGAGAGAGGAAAAGATGGAATCAGTAGCAACAAGGGCATAAGCCCACTGCACCCTTGAACCCGGGAATATTTTCCCAGAGACTCATTGTTGCCCATATGTTCAGGGTGTTTCCTTACGAAGACTAGTAGGAGTCAAATGGTCTTGTATGGGTTGTTTCCCATGTACTCCTGAGAATAACATTTCCTTCTTTGAGCACAGGAACCATAATCCCTGAATATTTCACAGAACTGTTTCATAGGCTGATTGAAATAATGGACCCAAATGTATTTTGTAATTAAACATGCACTATATAAATGCAAATTGGTATTATTGTTGCTTAGCACATTGTCTCTAAGAAAGGATGAGTTATGTCTGTCAAATAACAGACTTGGTAGCAGATATATTTTTGCAGTACGATCTGTTGTTAAGCTGTGATTACTGGGTCTTCAGTTTTATTCAAACACTTTGGATTTGAATAATGATCAGAAGCTTCAAGATTGAATAAATTTTTCCATTTATCTCATAGGTAGTTAAGAGCCTTTGCATAGTGATTTTGTATAAAATATAAGACATGGAATTTGCCTCTTCTGAACTTCTGAACTACTGCTGGACTATTTGTCACTCGTTGCCTCTGTGGCTGAGGACCATGACCAAGGTGAAAGAATACAGAATTCCAGCTCTTGATTTTAAGGACTGGAAGATTCATAATGCAGCTGGTACACCTAAGACCTGTAACAGTGACTTCACAACCATTCTATCGCACAGGCATGGAAATGGACTTTGAACAGCAGAGAGATTATAAATATCCTGTGGGAAAATGAGAGCAAGAGAATTATGCTCAGTGACGTTAAAGGCCATATTTGGAGGAAAAACCAGAATTATGATTGGAAGACTTCTGTAGCCCAAACTGAACATGCATCAGTTGGTACAGGTCATTGCCATGGCTCAGACGTCAGCCCAACTCTGTCTTATCTTTTATTTCCCCTGAAATCACCTAGGTGAGGAATATGCCTTTTCTTGGATTTTTTCATGGACTCTGCATCAGACTCATTCTTCCTGAGTTCCCATCATCACTATTGCTGTCTGTTCCAGTTGTCCTCAAATGGGGAGTAAAGAGTTTGACTGTACTTCAGAGGACATTTAGCAATGTCTAGAGACATCTTTTAGGGCTGTCATAACTTTGGAAGGTGGTGCTTCTGGCATCTAATGGGTAGAGGGCTAAAGGCTAAAGGGACCTTACACTGCACAAGTCAATCCCTCCTCCATCAGAGTTATCCAGCCCCGAACGTTAACACTGTCAAGGCTGACTCTGATCTACATCATACTTCAGTTTCATCTTTCTATCCCTTGTTACTTTTAACAGGCAATAATGTTTTGAAAATGAGAAATATTAATTCAACATGTGGCTATTAAGGAAGAGGTCAAAGAGGTCTTCGTGTTTGCAGTTTGTCCATGAAATGGACTACAAGACTTCCCACATCACTGTAGGTAGTTGTTTGAGGCGAGACACCTGACTGAGACAATTTACAGTTTTTCATCAGTGGGCTGAGCTGTCCACTGCTCATGGGCAGGGGTCATCACTCATGATGAAAATTCATATAACTACACTACAGATACCAACAGAATCCTAGTCCCTCTTGTTATAGAGTTTAGTTAACAGCATTTAGTTTAGTTAACAACATTATGAGATTTTATGAATCCTTTTCAACTTTAATTTAAGCAACTGTGCTTAGTGTGGAAATGCATCTGATCACTGTATTACATGTTCATTTCCAATATGTAGCCTATAATCTCAAATGGCTTGCTCAGTCAGTCTTTTACTATTATTTCTGCTGTTTCTGCTTTCCCAGCCCACTCCAAGTGTACAAGTCTGTTATTTTATGTGAGAAAAATGGAGGGGTACAAGCTTAGATAAGGTCACATGGATCATTTAGCAAAGTTTCCTCAGAAATAAAGCAGCTAGATCAAGTCTCTATGTGGATGATGTACTCCCAGTCTCTGCAACACCCTGGCTTTAGGTCAGCTGGAAACAGGAGCTTCATAAGGGATGCCAGCTCATAGCCTTGTATCTTGCAGAGGAGCCCATTTTTGTCATTAGTGGAATGTTTTGAGGCTAAAACCTGTTGGATTCCTATGCAGGATAAAGTAAATAGAGAGAAAGAGCAGACGGTATCATTAAACCAGTCTGTTTTCACATGCTTATGTGTTTATGGTTTGTGCTTTGGGGAGTCACAGCTGGGAGTGGCAGAAACATGTTTGCTTCACTGCTGGGCATATATAGAGCCCACAACCCAGGTCTTTGCTCCTAGATTCATGCTCCTCTTCTGGGAATTTGGGTTTAGAGGGAACCATTTAGCTAACACTGGTTTCCATAATCATAGGTCATTTTGAGCAGCCTAGGTACCTGTGTGTTGTTTCATTATGAAAAAGAGCATTTAATTCTATAATCCAGAAAAACAAGTCATAGGGAAGAAATAGTCATTTATTCCCACTCGGACCAGGGCTGGAAAGGAAAGAAAGTTTCTAAGTCAGCCTCAGAAACTGCTGTCCATCTGGGTGGTTTCATGACGGCCACACTTGAGTTTTCCTGGCTTCTCTGCCTAGGCTGTGAGGCATGACTTGAAACAAACTTATATGTAGTTACCAGACTTTGGTCGATTTTGAACCCTGCAAATGTGTTTGGAGAGGCAGGCACTGTGTCGGACTGTTGTATGTACCACAGAAGACTTCCAGTTTCAAAACAGGCAGAGTCTGTTCCCCTTGGAGAAACTCTTTCATGGAAGCCTGATGGCATTCTGTACTGCCCAACTCTCCTTCCTTCCCCTCCATGCCAGCCCTATATCCTCTCTCTCCCTCCCTCCCTCCTTTCCTCCCTCCCTCCCTCCCTCCCTCCTTCCCTCCTCTCTCTCTTTTTCTCTCTCTCTTATCTGTCTATCTGTCTGTCTCTGTCTCTCTCTCTGTCTCTCTCTCTCTCTCTCTCTCTCTCTCTCTCTCTCTTTCTCTCTCTCTCTCTCTCAGAGCTAAGGGATACATGCTCTTAATCAGGCCTTATCTGAGTTTTTGGTCTTCAGAAGCAATCTCCAGGTTTATTCTGAACTGACTTCAAAAGAAGCGCTTGGAACTATATCATTGTTTCCATCAAAAACCTACCAGCTTTTGGTAGAGTGAAGTCACCGTGGGTCTCCCTTCTAGGTTCCAAGTGAACGGTGAGATCCTCCTTTTCTCTGCACAGCAGCTGCCCTGTAAGGTCAGGCCTAAACTTGCTTTTGTCATCAGTGGTCCAACTCCTATCTGGGAACCTCTAAGTGCTGTTTACCCATGAAGTTCTCCCCATCTCTGTAACGCTATCTGTGGCTCTCTTCAGAGTGGTGTGCATAGCCTGAAGAGGTGAGCCAGGTCACCTCTGTCTGATCAGTGCACCCTAGAGGGGAACTCTGGCCCTCAGGAGAGAGAGCTTTTCTCAGTCAGGACTTCTGCTGTCCTGTGGGAGGTTTGCTTGCTGCCTATTTCCCTGAGAAGAAAGACCTTGG